ACCTTCCCCTCCCGACTCTGACCCCGCCCCCTGGCTCCCCGTAGGATTTGATCATCTTCCCCGATGACTGTGAGTTCAAGCGTGTGCCACAGTGCCCCAGCGGGAGGGTCTACGTGCTCAAGTTCAAGGCGGGGTCCAAACGGCTCTTTTTCTGGATGCAGGTATGGGGAAGGTTTTGTTGGCATTGTCGTTTCTCCTCATTATAAAGTTAGGTTGGAAACCTGCTCACCAGGTGGTAGAATTGGCTTCCACAACCAGCTGGTGCTGACCGAACATCTTGCCATGGAACCTGGGTTCCCTGTGTGGCCTGCGGTGGGGTGTGGGGGGGCTGCTTCCAGAGTCCAGACTGTGGCTGACTCCGAGTGCCTTTCAAGGTATGGAATTCCCTGGCAGGCAGACAAGTGACTTCCAGGCTAGGCCCTGTCTCGGTGCATTGACAGCATATGGCCTCTGGTTTGCTTGTCCCCCAGTGTCCCCTCAAGGGTCATGAGGACCCCAGGGCAGAAGCAAGGGTGACTGTGTCTAATCTTAAGTGCAGTCTTCTTCAAGCTCTTCTGAGCCTGCCTTTCCCCAGTGGTGTGCTCTGGAGTCTCTGGGGTCAGTGCACAGGGCTTCCTTGTGCCCACAGCTGTAGGCAGCTTCCATCAAGTCGAGCTGCTGCTGTTTCTTCTGCCAGCAGCAGGCCATTGGTTTGTCTTAGTTCCTTCTGTTCCAGGCAGTGCTGTAAAGAATCACCTCCTGCCAGGGTTACTCCATGTGTGAGGATGATCTCTGCTAAAACGTAGGGGTGGCTTGCTGGTGCAGTGGATACCCGTGTGGGCAGTTTTGACAGGTGTCACCACGATCCTTCCCAGAGGCTGAACCTGCCACCCTCCCCGCCCCAGCACTTTTTTTTTTTTTTTTAGTATGTCTTTATTGATTTCAGAGAGAGGACGGGAGAGAGAGAAACATCAATGATGAGTCATTGGTTGGCTGCCTCCTGCACGCCCCCTACTGGGGATCAAGCCTGCAACCCAGGCATGTGCCCTGACTGGGAATGGAACCTCCATCTTCTGGATCATAGGTCGAGGCTCAACCACTGACCCACGCTGGCCGGGCGCCCTCCAGCACTTTTGAGAGCCGGCAGGAAAGGGTTTCCTCTTGGGGGGCCCAGCCACCCGTGCCGAAGTAGTGGGAAAGCGGCCGTGGACAGGAAGAACATGCCTGGGCATAGCTGTGTTCCAATCAGACTTTATATGCAGACTCAGGTGGGGTCTGAGCTTTGCAGCCACTGGGCAGAGCTTGTTTCTCCAGTTTTGCCAAAAAAATCTTGTCAGACGTTTGCCACACACTAGCTGTTCTTACCAGTTTTGCCCATTTGATGGCTCTTCTCCCTCTGCGTGTCTGTTGTGTCTTCAAGTCCCTGTCTCCCCAGCACATGTTCAGCGACTGTGGGCAGATGAGTGAGTGTTAGGCGCTTTGTCTCACAGTTCTGGGCACTGACAGGGTGACACTACCTGATGACCCCCAACACATCCAGGGGCTCGTTGTCATGCCCCGCTCACCCCAAAGGACCGGGGGTGGGCTGGCCTGTGGGCAGTGCTGTGGTAGAAGTCATTTCATCACATGCATGCGTTTGAAGGAAGGGCCTGTGGTTATTGACAGCTGAGGGAAGCCTCAGGCCTGTCGGGTGATCTTAGTGCTTTCGTTTATAAAAGGCACATCTGTCATGTGTGACTGCTGGGTCTCTTCTCTGGTGCCATGTGAACGTGGACAGGTGACTATCTGCCTGATTCTCAGGTCCGTGGTGGACAGGCTGCTCAGCTGTGGCTGTTTTCCTGTCCTCCCCACAGGAACCCAAGACAGACCAGGATGAGGAGCATTGCCGGAAAGTCAATGAGTATCTGAACAACCCACCGATGCCTGGAGCGCTGGGGGCGAGTGGGAGTGGAGGCCATGAGCTGTCTGCACTGGGCGGTAATGCTCACTGCCCCCTCCCTCCGGTGTGCTTTGAGGTCTCAGTAGGTGTCAGATGGTGTGGACCCCTGATGGTGTAGATCATTTGTGTTTTAATTGATTTTTAGAGAGAGGAATGGGGAGAGAGACAGACAGTGAGACAGAGAGAAACATCGATTTGTTGTTCCACTTATTGATGCATTCATTGGTTGATCCTGACCAGATATTGAACTTGAAACCTTGGTTTATCGGGATAGCGCTCTAACCACGGAGATCCCCTGCCAGGGTCCAGACCAGTTGTTTTAAGTGGAAGTGAGGAGTCCAAGTTAGGAGCCCTTTCACCAGGTCCCGAGTCAGTCCCCACTCCCGTCTTCACGGGCAAGGATAGTGTCAGAGCCTCACCCATTGGCTCATTTCAGATGACACTCATGGAGGGGTGGCCATAGGGTTGTCGGCTATAGCTCCTCGTGTGCACTGCTTCTGAGAGCACCTTCCCACAGCACTGTGGGGCGGGCACAGGTGGGCCGGAGCCTGAGCACCTTCTGTCTTGCAGGCGAGGGTGGTCTGCAGAGCCTGCTGGGGAACATGAGCCACAGCCAGCTCATGCAGCTCATTGGACCTGCTGGCCTCGGAGGACTGGGTAATGCCTGCTGGCCCTCGGAGCCTTTATTTTAATTCCACAACCTTCAGCTGTGGTTGCTTTTGCGTTCGAGTCTGTTTCCTTTAAGCTCCTAATTGGCTGAGTGGTATCTGTGTGTTCCCTGCACTGCCTTCCCTGGGGAGGGGTTTGGGGGGCTGTGTGCCTTCTGGTTTGAGGGGGAGCTGGGAGGAGGAGGGCCCCCAGGAAGGACCCAGCTGTGTGGCTCAGGGGAGCACAGCTGGCTGAGGCACACTCCCTCAGTTGTGGCCTGCTGCCACCTGTGGGGTTTGGGTGGTTATGTCTCTTGGACAGCTAGGAAGCACGTACTACATTATGGGATTTGCACTGCTGTTACCTTGACCCCAAGTGTAATGAAAGGAACAGAGGCCATTTGACTTAATGAAGTTTGCTTCCAAAACGCGATCTGAGCAGCCACTGCCCGCCAGGCTCCCTGTGGTTACCACCTTCCCTTGCTTGTCCCTTGGCTTTAGTTTCTGCTCCTTTGGCAGGGGAGGTATGCTCTCCAGGTGAGCATGACATCTGAGCGTGTCTCCTTGTTCCTTGTAGGTGGGCTGGGGGCCCTGACTGGGCCAGGCCTGGCCAGCTTATTGGGGAGTGGAGGGCCTCCAGCGAGCAGCTCTTCATCCAGGTGAGCCTCAAACCCTGCCCCCACTGCACCCTTGAGTGCCACCAGGAGTTCCCCCCTTCAAGGGAACTGGATGTAGGAGATGCAGGACAAAATAGGTTCCCGGGAGGGTCCTTTAATGGTCCAGGTTCTTCCCGGTACAGGGACTTTTGGGGCAGAACCAGCATGGTGTGGGTACCTGTGTGGGTGCCTGGTGGCTCCACCTGCCCTGCTCTTCCCAGCTCCCGGAGCCAGTCGGCAGCGGTCACCCCGTCCTCCACGGCCTCTTCTGCCCGTGCCACCCCAGCCCCTTCTGCTCCAGCAGCTGCCTCGGCAACCAGCCCGAGCCCCGCGCCCAGTTCAGGTAATGGAACCAGCACGGCAGCCAGCCCAACCCAGCCCATCCAGCTGAGCGACCTCCAGAGCATTCTAGCCACTATGAACGTGCCGGCCGGGCCAGGAGGTGGCCAGCAAGGTAACACGTGCTCCTCGGCTCCAGGGGGTGAAGGTGCCTGCTGCCCCCCACCCGCTGGCTTCCCAAGGCATGGCCGAGCATGTCCCTGGCTGAGCTGCCACCCTACACGTGCGTTGCCCCTGCCCCCTCGTCTTGCCACGCTACACCACACTGAATGGCTGCCTGATCCAGCCTCAAGCCCTAATGGCCGTGTGCTTGCGCCCTAGTTGACCTGGCCAGCGTCCTGACGCCTGAGATCATGGCACCTATCCTCGCCAACGCAGACGTCCAGGAGCGCCTGCTGCCCTACCTGCCCTCTGGGGAGTCGCTGCCACAGACCGCAGAGGAGATCCAGAACACGCTGACCTCCCCCCAGTTCCAGCAGGTAATGCTGTGGCCCAGCTGCGCGTCTTCAGCTTGGTGCACCGTCACCAAGCATCCCTGTGCCTGCTGCTAGCCCTTGGCGCCTCTGCTGAGCGTGTGTCTGGGCCCTGCCCTGTGCTTGCTCAGAGATGCCTGGCTCTTCTTTGCAGGCTCTGGGCATGTTCAGCGCAGCCTTGGCCTCGGGGCAGCTGGGCCCTCTCATGTGCCAGTTTGGGCTCCCTGCAGAGGCCGTGGAGGCTGCCAACAAGGGTGGTAAGTACCCTCTCCCTGTTGGCACAGCATGGGGCTGGCTGTTCCTGGGGCCCAGGAAGGTGGCCTCATGGTCCTCGCTGCATTGTAGATGTGGAAGCATTTGCCAAAGCGATGCAGAGCAGTGCCCGGCCGGAGCAGGAGGGCGGGAAGGACAAGAAGGACGAAGAGGAGGACATGAGCCTGGACTGAGTGGCCGGCGGCCTCCCGCGGGGCCTCAGCTGTCAGCGGGCAGAGGGTCCCGCACACCCTGCCCGTCCCAGCTCGCTAAGAAATAAAAGTCTTGTCTTTTACCTGCTAGCTCTCGTGTTTCTGTGCCCAGGAGGAACTTTGATGCAGCTGGTGGCAGGGGCCCTGGGCCTGCGGTGTGCCGGGTGCTGGGGCCGAGGTGAAGGCCATGGGGCAGAGGGCGGCCCCACATGGCCCCACGCCCAGGCCCTGCCTGCCATCATGGCCTTTCCTCTTCCTACACTCACAGTCAACACTCAGTTAAATAAGCGCCTGTTTAATCTTTGTTTCAAGAGAAGGGACCAGTGATTACAGACTTCTAGGACTATTAAAAATGGGTGAAAGGAAAATCTCACAATCATGAAAGATAAAAGGTATAAAAACCCCATTTTATTGTGTTTTATGCTTTCATTTAAAAAGACATAACTTAAACCATTTCCAGAAGTAAGGTCACCCGTAGACTCTAGAGTCCAGATAAATCTACACAAACATCTATGAAACTGGCCGAGGGCGTTGTCAGCAAGCTGTTCGGGGGGCAGGCGCTCTGAGAGGCAGGACCCTGCCTGCCTGGAGTAGCCTGCCCATGGGCTCAGTGTGGGGGCCCTCGAGGCCTTCCTGCATAGCTAGGGTCCCAGAAGGACAGCTGTGCTATGTGGCTGGGCAGCCACTGGCCCCCACTGCACCCTGGACACCCGCGGAGCGAGGCAAGGTGACAAAGGCCCGGTTCACCACCAGATTCCTCATGCAGCCGTGGTAAAATGGAAGCCAAAGGCGTGTTGGGGTGGGGGGCCCAGCCTGTGTGTCCGTGGGTTCTGGGGTGCAGGGGAAGATGAAGGGAGATGGGTTGGAGCAGAGACTGGCTTCCAACTGGCATCCCACCACAGGAGGATGGGATGAGAGCAGGGTGACCCCAGGGCCTGGCTCCTGAGGGGCAGCTCCTCCCACCCCTATAGGGGCTGAGGCCACACTCACCGGGCAGGCCCCCTAAGTACAGAGGCACCGGGGTGCTGTCTGAGGCTCGCAGCACGGGACCCAGGGTCTGGTTGCTCTGGGAGTCCACCTCCAGCCTGAGGGCATTCCCGCTCTTGGTCACTGTGGAGGGGCCCCCATGCCACATTGGCCTCTGCAGTCTCATCCTCCCAAAACCCTCCCAGGCGCTCTGCTCTACAGAGCAGGGGTGAGGGTGTCAGGAGTGTCTCTGGTCATGGGAGAGGGGCCCAGCTCACCTGCCAGTTGGTGCCACTGCCCATCACACAGCGCCTTGGAGAGCGTTACCAACGTGGAGAACTTGCCTGCACCATCATCTGCCCTCAGCAGGACCTGGGGTGGGGGTGGCATCAGGAAGGCCCTGCCAACCCCAGTTCTGCCCTTTGTCACAGCCCCCACCCGGCTTACCTGCTTCTCTAGCACCTGCAGCTCTAGGTAGGGCGGCACCTGGAACTGGCCCAGATGGAAGATGAGGCCCGTGGCTGTCCGGGACCGTACCTCCAGCTTCAGGCTCACGTCAGGAAGGGTGGTCCCCAGGGTGTCTGTGGGGAGGGGTCGTGAGGGGAAGAGGGCCCTAGCCCCAGGCCCCTGCTCCCTGGCCATGGCTTCCACCTCACCCAGCCCAAGGCACATGCAGGGAGTGGGGGACAGCAGACAGACCTAGAGTGACAGCTCCCCTACTGCCAGCAAAGAACAGGCCCATCTCCAGGGGCTCTGACAAACAGGGCGTGACCCCCACCATTCGGCTGGGGGTACTCAGGGGCTGCCCATCCACCATCAGTCTCCTCACACAACCGCTGAACCAGGAGTTGCTGATAAACACCTGTGGGGGTCCAGATGGGTGGATGTGGGATCAGGTCCCAGGGTTGTGGAGGAGGGTGGGCTGGGCTGGATTGGCTGGGACAAGGTAGGGGAGCCGGGGGAGAGGGAGTTCTCACTGGGAGCTTGGGGCCGTCAACAGGAAGACCTCCTACAAAAAGAGTGTAGGGCTGGGGGCCTTCTGCCCCCTGGTACTGCCGACCAGGCTCCTGGTCAGGGTGCTCCTGACTCTGGGTCCAGACCCCATCCACCTCCAGCTGGATACGAGTCCTCTCCCATCTCACGGACACCTGGGTGTGAGAAGAGACATGTCAGGGCAGGAGCCCCCAGGGCCCCGCCCATGTCCCTTCTTTTCAGTCCCTTACCTTGTGCCACTGGTCAGCCTTAGAACGCTGGTGGCTCAGAACACGGAGCTCAGGCCCAGGGCCTTCTGTCTGAGCCACAAAGTACCTGTGGCTCAGAAAGAGCGCCAGGGAGGGGCTGCCAGCTGCCAGGGGCACAGCAAGGAGCAGGAGTCCTCTTCGGGTACGAGGGCGGACTACCATTGAGAAGTGGGACCTGGAAGCCAGGAGGGCATCAGCCTGGGCAGCCTTCCACACAACACCCCCAACCTGGCCTGGCCTTACCAGTTCTCAAGGGGTGCCGGGACGGCTATAAACTCGAGGTAACTGGACAGGGGACCCCCAAACTGGTAGGCTCCATGGATGGTCCTGAGGGGCTGGGGCGGTGTGCAGGCAGAGTCCTGGGTGGGCTGCCGGGTGCGCCGGGAGGCCTGTGTGGTCATATGGGGGTGCAGGGGTGCTTGGGAGTTGTCTTCTGCCCACTTGCAGCTCTGCCCACTCCCAACCCCTCCCTGCCACCCCCCTCTGGCAGCGCCCACCTTCTGAGCCACTGTGACCTGTAGTCCTCGAGGTGCCTGAGCTGGTGTCTGGGTGCCAGGGGCTGCTGGGGTGCACCCTGAGCTCACATTGATGCCACCCACATTCTGCTGCAGGTCCAGCACACGCTGGGGCCCCAGGAGCCTGTGGAAGGCAGCTAGGGCAGTCAGCAGCTAGCGGCACCTGGGCAGGCAGGGTCAGCACCAGCCCTCCCCGACACCAGCTCAGCTCACCGCTGCACAAACACATTGGTGATACAGCCACTGAAGTTACGGAAGGTGTTGGACTTAGGCAAGCCTCCCAGGAGGAGCAGATGATGGGGCTCCTTGGGCTGGGGCCTGGGGGGCCTGCCCCGGTGGGGCTTCATCTGCTGAAGCTGGTCGTCCACATAGAGCCAGACCCTGTGAGGAGAGCAGTGTTTCCCCACCCTGTCCCCACCCACCTGCAGCAGGTTGCCCCCCCAAGACCCAGCTCTGTTGCTGCCTCACCCTGCTCCTGGCTTACCCTGTGGCATTGCTGTAGAAAGTGACATAATGGGGGACACCATCAGCAAAGCCCCCTGGTGTTTTCACCTCAGTCCTCTGAAACTGGAGTGTCACATGGCCCTGCTGCAGGGACACCTCGAATGGCCCATCCTGGGGACAGTAGTCAGGTCAGCAGACCAAGTCGGGAGCCCAGACTTACTCCCTCCAGCCACATAGGCCCTCACACTGTTGTGGCAGGTGAGACTTGGGGAGGGCTGGGCAGAGGTGACTTGGGGAGGGCTGGACAGAGGTGAGACAGAGGGTTGGACAGTCAGGCTTGGGGACCAGGCAGGCTGTCAGAACAAGGCTGGGTTGGACGCACCGGGGATGCTCTGTGGTACAGCAGACCGCTGTCCTGGGTGCTGTGGAAGCCAAAGCCAGAGTAGACGCTGCTGGTAAGGGGTGCAACGTCCGGTAGCTCCAGGGGCAGGAAGCCATGGCCGTGAAAAGTCATGGCCCGTCCCACCTACAGGGAGCGGACTGTGAGGGCCCCAGCGAACCTGCTGGAGAGGGGGCTGCTGGCCGGGCGGGGCGGGGCAGGGGCTCACCAGCAGGTCTGTGGTGCAGCCAGCGCTGATGCCCGTGGTGTTCAGACGCTTGAGATCCACGTACTTGCCCAGAGCTTTGATGCCCTTGATGCAGCCTCGCACTGAGCCTCCAGATGGGAAGAGCCGCCGCAGGCTGTGGGCAAGTGAATGCTGGGGGCTGGCATTGGGGAGGGAGGGATGGGAGTGGTTGACAGTGGGGGGGACCCTGCCTGCCCTACACGTGCTCACCTCGGGGGCAGCTTGTCTGGAGGCGCGCCCCCCAAGTAGTAGGCGTTGGCCAGCTCCAGCATGTTTTCCTGCTCCACGCTGAACACGGTGACCCTCTCCACACGCACCAGCACACGCTTGCGGGGGTTCCCCAACAGGAAAACCTGGATCTGGATGGCAGCATGCAGGGTCTTCAGGGCCTGTGGTGTTCCCACCGGCCAGCCCCACCCAGCCTTGCCCCACGGACTTCCCGCTGACCCTCCTGGCTTCAGCCTTACCGCCTTGCTGGCCGTGGTCAGGGACGGAGGGGGGTGCGTCCGGTTGGCCTCCTGCAGGCCCGCGCCGAAGTCATAGAGCAGCACCAGGCGGCCTTTCAACACAGCCAGGCACAGGAACTGGCCCTGTGGGTCAGGGGGGTCGGCACGGGGCAGGGCCCACAGCATGGGGCAGGGCCCACAGCATGGGGCGGGGCTTGCTGTGGGCATGGGGTGGGGTGGGGTGGCAGGCCTGCCTCGTGCTGCAGGAAGAAGATGATCCCGCTGTAGGACACCAGCCGCAGCTCCTGATCGAAGCGCTTGGTGGTGCTGATCTGACTCTCCACCCTGATGCGAGCAAAGCCAGAGCCCTCCAGGTAGGAGCCATCGGTGAGCCAAGGGTCTCCAGTCGACTTGGTTCTGCAGGCAGAGGTCACAGAGTCAGTGCAGGGTGGGCCCAGCCGTGGTGAGGGGCGGGCCCCAGGCCGCACATACCGGGCACAAGGCTTATCCACGGCCGTGTTGAGCTGGAAGGTCTTCTCGAAGTTGTAGAGACTGATCACCTCCTCGTTGAGGGTGCCCATCTCAATGCAGCCCCGGTAGCGGGGGAAGCGGAGGGGTTCTGGGGGCTGTGGGCACAACACATGGTCAGGGTGCCTCCCCACCCAAGACAGATCCAAGAGGAGGAGCTCAGAGTGCAGCAGGATGGACTGAAGCCAGACACCAGCACGACTAGCAGGGACCAGAGTGTAGGGGGGGTGGCCTCGTGCCAGGCCCTGCCAGGCTCACCATGAAGTTGCTGGGGTAGCCCCCCACGTAGAAGACAAAGTCATCGGGCTGCAGGTTGAGCAGC